CGCTGTCTGTGAGGCCTTCGTGCTTCAACAGCAGACTTGAAAAGTTGTGACAAATTGTTTGCTCCTACTCTATAGTATCTGGGACCTGGATTTCTCTGTCCAAGACTCAGAGTCCCGCTCCTGGAAGGAAAAGAATCCCTTCAAGGCCGGATTGCACCTCAGGTATGTACTTCAGCGGTCAAAGACTGGGGATTTGCTAGTCTGTGGATTATTCTTAATTTTGTCTCTTGGTCCATTAAGTTGCAAGCACTTGCCATCTGGCCCTCTGCAGAAGAAGAGAGGCAACACTGTCTTCATCTGGCTTCCACACTCCTCACCAGTCCTGTCTGACACCCTTTCCACATTGCTCACCCCACTCTGGCCACACCAGGCTTTCTTCACTTGCTCAAAGCTCATTCCTGATTCAGGGCCATGGCAAATGCTGTCTTTGCTCTGCTAACATCCTCAAATCCTAAGGGGCTCAGTTTAAATGTCATTTCCTCAAAGAAATTTCCAGCAACCAACGCTGTCCCTGCCAGCTACATCTGGTTCACTTCTTTTAATTGCTTTTCAAATTCTTCATTGTCCTTCCGTGCAAGTAAGAAAATTCAAGGTGTTTTTAAAATTAATATTGTTTAATTTCTGGCTCACCCCTTGGGCCATCCACTCCCTGGCAGTGTGACTTGCCTCTATATTGTTCACAGGCATGTTCTCAGGGTACATAATTAGAAATTCTTTGTGTGTGCGTAGCATAGCTATCATCATCATGATTGAAAATCTGTTGCATGAATGTTGGGGAAGCTCTGGCTAAGATCTCAAAAGTGACCCTTGTCAGAGCAAATAGCAGGAATCTGTCAGCAGAGCACCTTGTCAGGGAGACCCTTGCAAAGGCCAAGTGTTTGTCTCGTGCCTGTGGAGGAATAAGAGAGATTTCCACTTCCCTTTACCTCATGACTACTCAAGACACAGGGTGAAAGAAAGAATACATTTAAATCACATATCTCCAGGCTGCATTTAATTTCACTGCTGACATTTCCAAGGACTGGGAGACTATCTAGCAAGTTCAGATGAGTTGCTATAAGGACCACTGTTTTCAACAAAACAAGAAATTAAATTGAAGATTAGTTAAAAACATCTTTTCCTAGGCTTTCTGCCTAGTGATTGAATTCAGAATAGGTACTTTAGAGCAGGAAGGAGAACAAATTCCCACATTTCTATTGATAAAAATCAAGATGTAATTTTTAATTTAAATAATAATCAAGTACAAAATTTATTCGTCACTCATATCTACTAAAGAGAAGAGGGATAATGTTTTCCTTAGGACTTCAAAGTTAACATTTCCTGTGATCAAATTAATTAGCATTTATGTATTTTATCTATGAAAATTTATTTTCACACGTCTATAGGTACAGTCAAATACTGATATAAATCATGAGTATATGATTCCACTTGAGCATATTAGTCAATTGGAGTCAGGCATTTATAGATGCTATTAGATTCTTCCTTTGATATTTGTCTTTTAGTATATTATGATGTAGGTTAATTATTTCCAACTGAAGATTAAGTGGAGGTTCCTCAAATGTATATTTAAATAGATATTGAGATATGCAGCTTCCCTTGCATGAGCGCTAAGTCTGAGAGGCACTCTGGAGTTGTAGGTTCTGCTGAAAACTCAGTGTTGTGTTATATTAAATGACACTGGATAGTCTTTCTTCTCGAGTCCTAAGGGAGGAAAATTTCCCTTAGTTTCTAGGCCACAATTAAATGGTAGTTTGTAATCTGCATATGTGATATGCAGTTTCATCTACTTTGGAAATGCTTGCCTGATTCTCTTAATAAAAACCAAAGTTCGGGGCCTCCCTGGTGGCACAAGGGGTTAAGCAGAGCACTATGAAACGATCCACAGCCACTGCAGCACAAATTCAATCCCTGGGCAGAGAGCTGCCCACATGGCGCAGCAGACCTCTCCTGTCTTGCCCCTCTGCTCCCCTCAACAGTGTATTTTAGTCAGTCTGCCTGTTCTGCTCCCCACTCTGTCTCTGGTGAATCCCCTCACCCCTGTACCTCTGGCCTGTACCCCAGTTCTTGTATGCATAAAGAAACAAATCTTTTTAAAAAATAGAAACCAAAGCTGAAGATTTCCATCCAATTGATTTGGCACATACTGCATATAGTCTTTGTTTTATTTGGTTTTTATTTAGAAGCCAAAATGATCAGAGGACACAGGAAAAATAATCAATTGTGGAAGAATTTGAGCTGAAAATATGTGACCTCCTAGAGCTACGTCTTTCTTAGTTGTTCTCACAGATTTCTCACCATAGGCGAGTTTGTAGCCCAGATGTTCTTTTACTCAAAATTCTGTTTCAAGAATCTCAGAGGAACTTTCCACCCAATTATCCCAAACACTTAGATGGTAATAAAGATAGCAAGGAAGTGTTCATTAGTATAGTTTCATGAAGTAATTCTACAGACTGTAATGAAGAAGAAAATTTCTTGCATTTCCCAGCCTTTGCTGAGAAAACATCCCGCTCACAGACAGCGCTGGGCGGAGAGGATTATTGTGAATCTGCTTCTCAAAATTCTGATCCGTTCAAGATGAGCAAAGGAACCAAAAGAATAAAATAATATAGTAGATGGACTGAAGAGCTGAAGGCTGAAGTTAGAAAGGGATCCTTGTTAAATACACGTCTGGCCTAGTTTTCTGGTACTGCATAACAATTATTACACACACAGAGACACGAAATAACACCCGTTTAGTAGCTTGCCATTCTACAGAAAATACGGTCTAGTGTGGTTTCTGATCAGGGCTAGCCATTCCCGGGAAAATTGTTGGGGGGTGGGGGAGGGCTAGCATCTACACCCAAGCTCCTTCTTGTGGGCAGATTTCCAGTATCATTGGTTGAAGAACTGAGGTTCCCTAGTCCTTGCTGGCTGTTAGCTGGGGCCACTCAGAGATACTCCACCCCATATGACACCCAGTCCTACCCATCCAGGTAACAATTGTGCCATGTAACAAACTAGGCAAGGGAGGAAAACCTATTGAATTTACAATCCTGAGGATTAAGAAAGGTATATACACATTAGGAAGAAGAATTTGGGGAACCCTGTAAGAATTTGACTATCACAACACTCAGTGGGACCCCAGTAGAGAAACAGAAGTTCCGTGCACACATACGTATACACACAAGGTACAACCCTTTTTCCCTTTTGACTTTTTACATTTCATTTCTGAATCTCAAAAAGTAATCTTCATACTAGAAATGGTTTTGCAGCACAGGATTTGTAGCTGAGTACTACAATGATTCCATAAATAAAAATAAGATATATCAGAGGGCAGAAGAGCTTCGTGGACATGAGATCTCAAAGGATAATTTCATTTCTAAGGCTACCATCACTCTTCCTTCAACCAAAAATTTCCTTCCCACCTAAATAATTTCCTTACAAGGATTATAGTAGCTGGGCAGTCAGCTACAAGTATGCGCAAGTGAATATTTGGGAGAGTAAGGATATAGTCAAAATATTCAAATATTCAGAAACTGTCATCCTGATTTTTTTTTCAAGAGAATAAATATTTTCTGAGTCATAAAAAATATTCTCTTATGGAGAATGATTATGTATTCTCTAAAGAGAATCCAATATTTCACCAAAACACAAACTTTTGACAGAGAGAACATTAAAGGAAAGTGCTTTTAAAATTATGGGTATCATTAACAAATTTAGACAGATTAGATATATGTGTGTGTATATTATATGATATATATTATAATGTATATAGACGCTAAGATCAACTAATATTCTAAGGATATTCTTGTCCATTTACAGTTATGTTTTTCTAAGAAATATATACACATATATATCAGACAGAAGAAATAATAGTTACTTTATTTCAACAGTGCAATCTAGCTTCCATTCAACATACAATGTCAAACACATTTTATTAATTTTCATTTTGGGACTAGACTACACCCAACACACTTTCAATGTTTAAAGATAGCTTTGTAGTTGAGACGGATTGAGGTCAGTTTGTTTGGTTTTTAACAGTGATCCAGTATAAGGCCACCGCTAAAACATCCAAACATTATAATATAAAATATAGCCCTGTAAACTTATTTATCAATAAAATCAATCAAAACACTCTGTATATAAAACGGTTTACAGATTTTTTGTTATAGTCACTCAGATTCCCTGGGGAAGCAGGGGAGGGAGAGGAGTGGAATCAAGGAATCAGCATACATAAACATCAAATCCAGAAAGAATATATTTATAGGAGGAGGGAAAGATTGATTAAAAGCAGAGAAATAGTATATAAATCAATTCAAGATATGAGGATTGGCTGCAGGTTTGTTTTGCTTTCAGTGTGAACTTTAAAACAAGAGTTTGTCTCAGTTGCCATGGAAAATCAGCTTTTCTGTGCTGACATTTGTTTGCAATCTATTTGTTTTTCTGATTAACATTCTCTCTGCTAATATAAGGAAAGTCTAGAAAATTAACTTTTGGGCCCTAAGACAGAACTATTATTAAAAGTCTCTATATTGACTAGGATGAATTATTCTGTTATTCTTCTCCAGGAATAAAACCTATCCCAATCAATTGACTGCCAACTCTCCTTTCTGTTGTGGTTATCTACCGCTGCGTAGAAGTCAGCCCAAAACTTAGTTGTGTAAGGATTTGGCAGTTTTTGCTAAACTCATATATTCTGTGAATCAGAAATCCAGACAGCATATGGTAGTGATGACCTGTCTCTGTTCCATGATGTCTGGGGACTCCCCTGGGAAGACTCCATCATACAGGGGAGTTGATCAGTTGCACGTTTCTAAGCTCACACATCTGGCTCTTAGGTGAGAAAGACCCTGAAGACCATCTACACTTAGCCTCTCCACATGGCTTAGGTGATTTTTAGAGGAGAGTTCTCGGGGTAGTAGGTTTCTACCATGGCAGCACAGAGTTCAAAGAGAGACCATCCCAGCAAACAAGGCAAAGGCTTTACAGCTTTTATGACCTCACCTCAGAACTGCTTGACAGCATGTCGCCATGCTCCATGCTCCATCCTTCCGGATAGTACAAGACACCACATTCAAGGGAAGGGACATATGTCCAAATTTCATTGGCGGGTGAGGAATTTTTGTTTAATCATGGTTTAAAGCCAACACACAGCTTGTCACTTTTCTGTCCCTATTGATTTTCCACTGTCATGATTATGAAAATAGGGCCAAAGTATGGCAGACTTCCATTTTACTAGCAGGAACGGAGAAGTTCCCAGAAGTCTATCTAGGGGTTGAACCCACATCATGTATGAGCCTGCTTTAGCGGAGTCACTGATCGCGTTGGCTGGAAACAGTGAACAGTCATGCTGATTTTTAAACAACTAACATCAAAATAAGTCAGTCTCTGATAACAAATGAGAGAGTGACAGGAACATAGTAGGGGGATTAAAAATGACTATTATCTACAAGAAAAATGACTCATTAAATATTTGAGGAAGTAAGATCTCAACATCCACATAGCCTCAGCTGTATCTGGAATTCTTTTCAGAATGACCTTGAATCAAATGACATCTAATTCTCTGTGGCACCCGGCCTGCCTCTTCTGAATTTCCAGAGCACGTGCATGGCTATGAAATTAATAGAAAGTGAACTGGGTTTATGCCAAGATGCATCTCCCATCTTCTTCCATTTATTATGTGACATGGTCATGTCATTTGCTGCTCTCGGACTCCATAATCTTATCTCTAATATGAAGTAGGTGAACCTTGAAAACCTATGAATTCCCTTCTAATACTGAAAATTTTTATTCAAGTATTTTTTCTCTCTTTTATTGAATGGTATAACTTAATAGATGGAAACCTGGTAAATTGAAATCATATTTTCAAATGGATTCAGCAGTAGAAAGAGTGGTGGAGGATTCCAAGCTACCCCTCAACCCAGCTGCTTAATACGATATTTCATCCATATTGTGAGTGTCAGGTTGGTTTGGGTTCTTTCCTTTAGGGTAAAGAGTAAATGGGTATTAGTGCACTAAACTGGGAACCTAGCCATGATATCCAAGATGTGTCTTTGAGTGAATGTGCTCCAAGAAAACCTCTGGAAACATGAAAAATGGATTTGACTTCTCAAAGCCTGGCCATATTAATGTCAGAATCAGAAATCAAGTAAAATTGCATTTTTTTCTTGAAACAAGCAGCAGATGCTTGCTAATCAGCTGAAGAGAAAATCTCTGTGGCATCTTATTGGGAGATGAATCCAAAGAAAGAAACTTTTTATTCTCCAATAACTGCCCTCCACCTCCTGGTAAGGCTGCTCCTCGCCGTCAACTTGAATCACATACATATACCTGAGGCAGCACGAGCCCTGTCCCCCAACTTCACTGCAGATTGCCACAGACCAACTGCTTGTACTTCCTTGCACATCATTCAGGCAGTCCAGCTGCTGCCACCTCTCTTTAGAATCTAAGATATCACTTAGGAATCAAGACTGTGACTTGAAATTTTGGGGTCTGAAGAAGTTAGTGGTGGTTGATGAAATGACATTAAGATTGAAATAAAAACCTCGATGTATCGCCATAGAACATCTAACATAGTATCAGACAGGGGTGCCAAATGCTGCCAGATTAGAAACACAAAACCCTCTTACGAGCCACAAAACCAGTAAAGAGAATGTGGTAACCACGGCAAAGATCCACTCCCAGAGGCAACCCCCGTTCTATTCATTATCTGAAATGAGTGAGGCTTGACTGTCAAAGGTGAGTTTATTTCTCAGGAAGCAGCGTGGTGAGGCATGGGGTGGGGGGCACTGTGTACCCTGAACTCTACCACATCCCCAGAATTCCCAGGGATCTAGAAGGCACTCGACATACTTTTGTTAGGTCAGGTGAATTTATCAGGAAATTAATCAGTGTAATGTATACTGAGAAGGGACACAGCGGTCCTGGATTCTAACTCTAATCTGGTTACTAACTTGAGGTATGCCAAGGGCTCTGCGGCTTTCTGCCCATGTGTCTATAAGATCATAAAGGTGGAGCAGGATCTCCCAACAACATCTTTTTTAGGGCTACCTCATCTGTGACTGCTGTGCTCTAAGGTTCTGGTGGAAATTTGAGCAAAACCAACGTGCTGAAAACAACCCTTCATTCAAACTCTCACATTTCACAAAATTTCAGGCAACCTAAACTGAGTCGCCCAGGAGGAAAGGTAAGTCTCACTCCCCACTTGGCTGCCAGCTAGGTAAATTCAACTACCTGTCATTTTAGAAGAAAACATCAACGTCCACTTTGCTATATTCAAAGGAAAACTTTGGGGTGTATTTCTGGTAGTCCTTAAAACTCCACACAGTTGCAATCATTTGCCAGCACCCTGAAAGCCCCTGGAAGAAATCATTGGACTATTCAGTAAAAATCACAGTCTGTTCTAGGCAGCCGCACCCCTAATGGTGCCCACTTCCCTGCAAAATAGTGCTTGGCTCACCATTTCTGTTTGGTGAATGCCTTTACCGCAACACAAATATCTAAAGTATTGCATGACTCGTAGTGTAGAATCACCCTATCAATCTTGGACCTGTGTCTCTTACAGCAATTTCTCCTAAGATTTTAAATGAAAGTGATATGAAAACCACAGGTGCACCCTCAGTGGGTGGGCCCTGTCTATTAGAGCACAGGTGATCTAGATACTATTTCTGTCCACCAAAGCCAATACTGCCCTCATGTATGGGTTGGGGGGGCATTGGTTTGTGCTACCAGCAGGGTGCTTCCCAGTCCCCCTATTGCACCGAGGTCACCGTAGGAGTTGCCCTTATCTGTGGAATACAGACCCAAGAACTAGTCTTGGGCAAGAGCGTTCAGGAAGCATTTTGTCTTCTCTATCCTCTCTTCGCCTCCAAGCCAGATGGGAATGCACAGAACTCTGAGACTATAGAGGGTCACTGGGCCAAGGATGAGATAAATCTGAGTCCCTTCATCATGGCTAGGAGACAAACTGTACAGGAGCATCTACACTGGTCTCTTACACAATGAGACAGCGACGCCTAGTACGCTGAGTCCCTGACATCTTAGGGTTTATTTGTTACAGCAGCTGGTGTTACCCTCACTAATAGATTTTCTAAAAAATGAACAGAGCTGTTTCATCTCATTTTCCTTAACAGTGATGTTGAGACAACAAATTTTGCTGTCAAGTATTATGAGAGTAAATGAGATAACACGTACAAGCCAGCAGCCCGAAGCCTGACATGCTGCAGGTGCTTGGTATAGACAGTCACACCACCTGTGTCCCTAACTTCCCCACGTTACTTCCCACTCACATCTGGTTTTAATAGTAATCCTTGAAAAGTGATTATAATTAGTTTTACCAAATAATAATAGTGTTTAAATGCTGTGATTCATGGGAAAATATTAATGGAATATAATAGGCCATCCCTCACTTACTCCACACACACATGAAACATGCCTTCTCAGGTTATGGTGTTTGCAATTGTCCTAGGTTTGAAGTAAAAGCAAGAGTGGAAGGATTGCAAGATAATAACTTTCTGACTATGGGTTTTGTCTCATTATTGTCACGTCAAGATATATCCTCCAAGGACTCCCTAGGCAAACACACAAACACGTGCGGAAAAACACAGGCGAAATAAAATCACATAGCACCAGGACACCCTCAGATTGCTTCTTTCTCCTTGGCCTTGATTGCTATAACTGCATCCATCTGTCTCAGAAGTTTCAATGAAGATCCTGAATTCTGTGAGAAAATCGTTAAAATACAAATTCTCGAGCTGTTTGGGGGGGGATTATATGCCCAAAGGAGTACTACAGAATTTGAAACTTAATCTAATTGTAAATTCTCTTGCTACACATCACCATTAGGGTTTGCAGAATTCAGTTATTTAATGATTTTGAAACCAGACAGTACAATCCTGAGGTTAGCGGTAAAGCTGAGCATTGTCTTGCTAGTCCTTCCTGCATTTACTCCACATCTCACGGTCAGCTGACCCCTGCAAAGCTGACACATCCCTTCTAGATGAGTGGCTTTAGCAGCTGTTGTGGGTCAAACCCCCAAAACATGTGATCAGTCATCTGTCAAGCTGAAAAGAGAGCACAGTATAGAAATCACACCTGGTGCTGAGGCTTACAAGGTATTTTAACTTTTATAATTATGTACCATTTCCAGCTTGGCTATAGAATGTATTTAATAATGTCAAACATCAAGCGAAAAAAAATTTCTGCTGCGATACCATTACTATTAGCCATTTTTGATTTTTCCTCAAGGTGCTTATTTTGTTCACATTTCCAAAAACAGGGTATATGCCACTTTTATACTGTGACATATACTTTAAAGTCACAATTAGGTGCTCTCCCAAAATCACCTTAGCAGATAATTGACAATTATTGGAAGAGCAAGGAATTGACTTTCCAAGTCACTCTGTGCCACCAACAGAACTAGACTGAGAAAGCTCGTGCTGTGTGCTTGAGGGTTTTCCTTTTTTTGAAAAGCTCTGCAATAAAAATGTTGTATCTTCAGGTCTGGCATCATGCTGGGTGAGGCAAATTTCTCAGGCCTTTCTCCCCATGAAAAACCACCAGATACCATCCCCTGCAGATTCACCTAAAAAATACATGTTTATATTCTCTTCCCAGACATCTTCAAAATAATTGTATACCAAAGAAAACTTTCCAGCACAATTCTGCTTGTTTTCACGATCTGCACTGATAAGCAAAAGAAAAGGAGGATCCCAACAGCAATAAGTGCCCAGAGAAGGAGAAAATCCTCTCTGTGCAGAAATCTCAAAATACAGGAGGTGGTATCTCAAAAGCAACAGCGTGAACTCCTGAGAATAGAAACTTAGGAACTTTCTGGGTCATACAAAAATCTAATAATATCTAGAGCTGGATTGGCTGAAAACCACTAAAAAATCTGCGAAAGAAAGCAGCATTAAGATCAAATATTAAGTGGTTACCCTGGACAAGATTAATGAAATGATTGCCAGGAATCACTTAAGTACAAAGAATAAAAAAAAAGAGAGAGAACTTACATGTGTTAGTTTCTTGTGTCTACAGTAACAAAGTACCACAAACTGGGAGGTTATAACAACAGACATTTGTTGTCTCACAGTTCTGGACAGCCACAAGCGTGAAATCAATGAGTTGGCAGAGTTTGTTCCTCCCGAGAACTGTGAGAGAGAGAACGTGGTCCAAGCTTCTCCCCCGACTTCAGAAATCCTCAAGCATCCCAGGGTTTGTAGATGCCATTCCCCCTGTGTCCTCACACGGGCTACCCCTACATATCTGTCGCTGTGCCCAAACTCCTTCTTTTTATGAGAACACAGTCATATTGGATTACAACTACTGTGAGGAATTGGTCTCATCTTGATTATCTGCAAGCCATATTTCCAAATAAAACCATCCCAGGCCGGGCAGGTTCACAGTTGATTTGGGTAGACAGAAAAAGAATCTTGAAGCCTTAGTATATCTGACATGCCTTTAATGCTGAAGCAGGGGACCAGATACACAGGCAGACAAGCAGGTAGGGAGGCAGGCAGGCTGCAGCCAAGACACCTAGCCCCCTTATCTCCAGCTTCATGGCCCAAGTGTCCATGTCTATAGGTGCAGATGCCCCACACTCATGCTTCTAAGTACTTTTTGCGATAACTTGGTATCACATGTGGGTAATGAAATCTGGGAGGAAAACAGAACTGCAGGTGGTAGCCACAGAGGCTGGATGTGGGAGGTGAAAAAGAGTCTTGAGTTACCCCATGTTCCTCACAGGTTACGTTCATCAGTACTGGGGGTTAGTTGTCCTAATCCCTTCGAGTTTCAGAAACAATAAAAAAAGTGGAAATGAATTACATACCCTGGCATTTTAATACCTGTTTTAATATTACATCACAAAACAAGCACATTATCTATATCAGGTATAGAAAAATCAAAACCAACCACAGGCCCCCAAAGGAATTTTCAGAACAACAACTAAAACCATTTCTGCTCTTTTTACTTATTCATTTCACCACCTACAGCACACGTATGTTGATGAGCTACTAATTCAGAAAAGCACAGTATAACCTATCATGAAATGTGTTCCTCTTTTAGGTTGCAAGCTGAATTTAGATTTTTTTTCCCTAGTCAAATCGGCAGCAGTTTCTATATTCAGCTTTTACAAATTCAAGGTCTATGCGCTGTCTTTATCTTAACATCTATTTTACTAACTCAAACAAGTGAATTGTCAAAGGGTTTTGCTTCTAATCATGGATCTGGATGAGCAGCATTATTCTAAAAATGGCTTTGGCTTTAGACACACAATATCGAAGTGAGATGGTCATTTTCTTGCTGCTCAAGAGTCTTAAACCACATCTATTAATAATCCCTTAATTCATGGAGCAGCAGAATCCCACATTAAAGCTTGAGCCAGAACTGGAACACCAGGGCTTGGAAAAGTCTTGAGATCTTTCCTCTGCATGACCCCAGAACACATTTTTTCAGCTGAAACAATGAATTACAGCTGCTTACTTTGTCTGCCCTGCTAAAATCTAGAACTTACTACATCTTTCCTAGTTTGTGTCACTAGCACCTGTCAAACCCAAGACAGGTGGTACTTCATGGTTTGCTATTCCAATGGCAATTTTTTAAGGACATCTCTGTATGAACTTGTATCTCTCAGAGTTGCAACCATCTTGCCTTATTTATAAGCTGTAAATGATCAGAGAAAAAACACAAATAATTTCTTCTTGAAGTGTCTGACAGTGAAGATATTGCTTTTCTGCAGGTTTGGTTATCGCTGCTATGACAGTCGTGCATGCACACGTATACATTTTGTGCACATATACCCCAAACAAGAACTAAAAGAATGGGGTGGGAGAGAAGGGACAGAGAGGCGGGTAAAATTCTGACAGTCAAGCGAGATTCCTGAGCTGGTGGGTACCTCTGATTCAACCTCCTATCCTTGAGGGGCGTGTAGGCAGCACCCATGAATAGGATGGGACATCACGTCCATGATTAGGTTATATTATATTGCAAAGCAGAAAGAATTTTTGCAGCTGTAATAAAGGTTCCTACTCAGTTAACTTTGTCATGCATGCTTAATGATCGGGATGTGTGCAAAAAAAAAGGAAATTGATTAAAAAAAAAAAAGAAAGAAAATGGCATGTGTGTCCTCAGGTGATTCTGTCACTGGGCTAACCCCAACCTAAGCGTATGGCCTGAACACCCAGGGCGTAGAGACCACCATCACCTGTGTGGACTGTTGCTGACAGAATTGTCACTAAGCAGAGCGTGACTGTGCATCAAAAGAGAGGTCACCCTGGGTGGCTTGACCTGTTAAGGCGAGTCCTGTTAAGGTGAGAGAGAATGGTCCTTCCAGGAGTCAGATATTTAAACATAAGATGAACTCTCCTAGTGACCTTGAAAGAGCAACTTCCATGTTGCTGAGAAGACCTGACGGTGAATCTGAGCTCACAGTAGGCACTAAGGGGAGCCCACAATCCTGCAGCTGCAAAAGAGTGGATTCTGCCAAGCAGTGAGGAGTTTGGAGAGGGACCCTCAGCCTCAGATCAGAATGAGCTCCCTGCACAACTTGATTTCAGCCTGGAGACCCTGGGCTGAGGACCCAGCTAATCCATGTCTGGCTGCCTGATCCCCCGAAGCTGTGAGAGAATAAATGGATATTGTTTGAAGTCCCTCAGTTTAAGGTATTGGCTATGAAACAAGAGGCAATGAATGCAGGAGATGATAGAAGGAAAAGAAGGTTCCTGGGGGAAAAGGGTGGGCACTATAATCAAATGATGGGGTTCATCTCCCTCTCTGCTGGTCTTTAGCATTCTCTACTGTCTGGCAGACTTGAAACAGTCCAGGTCAGAAGCAACACACCTGGGCATCTGGTGAGTGTCTCGCTCCTTTTCACCCCATGACATTTTTTACAATAATGAATGTTGCTGTGGCAACCTCACAAAATTCCAAATGATTTCTCCCAATTCGTGGAAATAGTCAAATAAGGCATGCAGTGAGCAATGCTGAGCTCATCGAGAGCCACTGATAAATCTGTTTCCATCCGTCCACCCGAACGTACCCAATAAAAACCTCAAAATAGACTGAATAGCTTTCACATGTGCAGAAGTATCACATCTCCCCTAGGAAAAATACAACTGTCCGTATTACAGATCGCTCATTAAGATTGCTGAAATTATTCTTCATTAAGTTGTCTTCAAAGGAAACCCAGTGAAACTGTTTCAATTCCTTTCAGCTAGTGGTCAGTACAGCGCCAAGGAAAAGTCACTCAGGTGTTCAGCCTGTCACTAGTTGTTTCCATGACACAATGAGCTCTTTTATTAGAAAACTTGTTTTAAGCAAAACTAATAAAGTCTGACCGTAACTGAAGGCTTAAAAAGTGAAGTGGTGTCATCTGGATAGTTGTTTGACCACAATTTAACAATGACTCAATCTTTAAAATGTCTCAAACCATCAGAACCGGAAGGAATAATAAAGCAGGGTGATCTGGAGAGCCTTCCCGTAAGCAGACACCACTGCATCGCATGTCAGCTATGAAACTAGCTACCGAGGACTCAGGCGTGGGGTACTTCCTATCAGCCACTGGGCCCACCCGTGTGCAAGCCCAATCCTGATCTCCTCCGGTGTTCTGTGATTATTCCCTTCTGGAAGAGCCGTGCTTTTCCCCAACCCCAGAGGGTGAACTACAAACAGTTCAGGCAAAAGTTCTCAGTCTATCTCTCATCAGCTTCAGTGGAACCCACCCTCCCACCAAGTTTCTGGCCCACAGGTCTGGGATGGGGTGGAAGAATGGACACTGCTAGCAATTTTCTAGATGATGCTGATGCAAAGAGGCTGGTTTGGGGGTTCCAATCCAAGAACCAGTCATTCCAACCATTTGTCTCCCCCGTGGGTGATTTGTGCAGATGTGAGCCTGTGATCCATTCTGGGCACTGAGCCACAAGGACAGATCTTCTGGGTGCTGTGGAAAGGCATTTCTGTGATAGCAAATCCTGAGACATACTAACATATTTCTTTCCTTTTCTGTTTCTGAATTTGGTTGATTTCTTTGATGCCCACAATTCAGGCATTTATGTTATGGGGAGCAGCCTAGAGAACAAGCCTGGTTTCTCAGGGTGTTAAAGTCAGCACTATGAAGCTATCACCAGCCACTGCGGCCTGAGTTCAATCCCCAGGCAGGGAGCTGACCCACACGGCGCAGCAGACCTCTCCTGTCTCCCCGCTGCTCCCCTCAGCAGTGGATTTCAGTGGATCTGCCTTTTCTGTTCCCCACTCTGTCTCTGATGAATCCTCTCCCCCCCATACCTCTGGCCTACACCCCAGTTGTTTTATGCATAAATAAAAATAAATCTTTAAAAAAAATAGAACAAGGCAATGTAGCAGGTTGGAAAATTAGAAAGAAGCTGACTCAGGAATCTTGGAAGATACTGAGCTGACCAACCCAGGAGTATTCTCCTTCTGAACTTGTTCATGCACATGGCTTATGAGTTTTAAGCAAATGTTGGTTTGGTTTTCTGCAACTTAGAGTATAAATCCCTTTAACAGAACCACCAAAAACTGGAGAACTCTTTGTTATTATTGAGTTTATATTAAATAAGAAAATTATGTTATTAATAAAGAATTATTTATTATATGCCCTACACAGTACTTAATGCTCTGAGTTTACTGTTTTAGCTTACTGTTTATAGCTTACTGAAATAAAACCAATCTGATTCTAACCATTTTTGAAGGCTATGAGAGTTGGAAGGAAGAAAGTAGGACAAGAATAATATTAAAATGTAAACTAAATTTAGAAATTGTTTTCAAAATATTAGTGTTTCAGGTTTCTTTCAAAACGTTTGCCTTATTGTCAGTAGTAAGTAGGTTAAAATGAGCTGATTAAAACTGAGGGGTTGGCTTTAAAGGGTGTTTATTGTCATTTTTTGCAGGTTAATTTGTCTTATTCGGATTGGGTGAGTTAGAAAGCTCAGGCAGCCTACTTTTCAGGAAAGGGCTCAGCACTTGAGGGTCTCCCCGCTCTACCAT